GCTGAACTGCCTGCTCAGGGAAATGGTACAGCAGCATAAATCATGGCCAGTGTACTGCTTCAGGGCGCCACAAGGTCAGCAAGCTCCTTGTGCAATGTTTTCATGACAACTGGCCTAAACACGCAAAAACCCCTGCTGACGAAAGCACTCTCCGGCCAGGAGGAGAGGCTGTGTGGCTTGAAGGAGGATGTCCATCCTTGCAGCTCAAGGCACAAGGAGCTTTGCTTGCAATAAGATGCAACACCTCCCACCCCTTCCCACAAGCCAGTGGCTTTGGCAGCAAAATAAACTGAGACATCCCAGCTCAGCCCCCCCCTGCTCACAGGGCTGGGGGGTAGATCCAGTTGCACAGTTGCACACACACAAAGTCACAGCCTCTCAAAACCTACAGCCCAAACCCTTCTGGCTGTTTCTCTTCCTCCATCACAGGGACAGAAGTCGTTCACCCCATTAAACCAGGAGGAGGACGGAAGCCCCCCAGCTCCATGCGGGACACAGCAGGTCACCCTGTGTGCCCAAGGGACCCAAGTCCGGGCTCCCTGGGGCACAGATAAGCCCGTACAGGGACACGACACCAGTGTGCACAACTCCATGCCAGCAGGAAAACCCCCATAAATCGGCTCCCACCAGGTGGGATCAGTGAGGATGAGTCCCTTCACACTAAGGAGGGTGCAGGCACTGCAGCGTCCTCTCCTGGGCTTTCAGATCCATGAAAAGCAGGCCAGGAGAAACATATGATGTCCCGCATGCTGCCTGGAAAACAGGGAAGCAATGGTCAGAAGCATCTTCAGGAGCGCTGGACTGGACCACACTGCCCACAGTGCCACTGGCATGGCAGAGATACAGGAACACATTGGTGATGCTCTGTGCAAGGAAGGAGCCTGCGGGGAACCACACCTTTTAGAGGCTCTCCACATGGTCATGAGGCAGATGAGCACCTAGCAACTCAATCCTTGAATGCCACAGATCACCGTCCAACTCAGCTCCAAGTGATTTCTGGGCATGTATCAACAGCCTTGATAGCAGCTCAGTAACTGCATCACTGGATAAGACTTTAGGTTCGAGGTCCTGCGGCCCTTTAGAGTGCCATGGCCCTGATCCTGCAAAGCAGACGGCATGTCCTCTCACCTGGGCACTGTGTACCTTGGAAACCAGGGGGGGTCACGTGGGAAGCAGAGAGGAGCCTAGCGCAAACCTTGAGCAGTATAAGTGCTCACAAGCCCTGCCAAATCGCACTTTCATGAATTGGGCTCATCATTTCCTCTCTGGCTGCTGTATCATCATTTTAAAAAGAAAGAAAAAGTCATTTACCACCCGGCTCTGGCTCTCCTCTCCAAAATGTCACCCTGTGTTTCCTGTGTCAGCAGCCACCCAGGAGCAGAGGCGGCCTCCAGCTCTGCAGCATCCTGTTCTCAACTGCCCGCCTGGTGCTTTAACCCCTGCAGACCTGGCTCTCTGCCACTGACACGGCTCGCCTGAGGCCACGCATTTAAAAAAGCCACACCCTCCTCTAAGTGCTGCGCACAGGGTGATCGCCTCCTTCACACAGATTTAAAATTAAAAGAGGTGAGGGAAGAAAATACCCATAATGAACAGTATTCTCCTCTTTCAGGGACAGCAGCAGAGATGCAGAGACATTAAGTGACCTGCAGAAGAGCTCAGATTTCATTAACCGCAAAATTATCGATGTTCCCCACGTCCTAGAGGGACACGCTGCAGAGAGCTGCCATGCGACAGACCCATGCCAGCGTGCTGCTCGGTGCAGAGTGATCCTGAGCACGTCAATTCTCTGTCCCCGTGCCCACATCTCCTCTCCCCAGGGAGGCAGAAGCAACCTCCTTCATAACATGCAATGAGAACCAACTGTAAAATGCAGCATTGATATTGAGAAATAAGCAGAAGAACACTTTTTTTTTTTATCAGGCCCTTTCATTGTATAAATAATTTATTTCAGTTCACAGCACTATGTCTGCATCTTTTAAAAAAAGAAGAAAAGACAGGAGGAACAGAGACTGATGGACAATGGCAAGGGTGGGACAGGGGCAGCAGGATATCCAACACTGACGGGAACACCCTGAAGGTACCTGGTGAAATGAGACAATGAGACTGGTACCTCATGACAGCTGCTAAAAAAAAAAAAAAAAAGTCATTCAAACATATTTAGAGAAGATGCACAACCTTGCAAAAAGCCCAGCTCATTTTCAGAGCAACGACCCAGGCAGTTTCCCTTAACTGATGTTTTGCTGAGGCACCTCTTCTTCTAGCCCTCCATAGGCGAAGCACATCTTCATACAGGAAAAATCAGCGTACACTTGTGAAATGTTACAGAAATACCACGGAAGCCATTAGCTACTAATTAGAAAAGTCTTTTTAATTATTGCAGAAAGCAGAGTTGGTGGGAACAGCATTGTTACAGCATCCCACCTGGCTCAGCTGAACCTTCAAGTGTGCGCTGCCAGTTCAGTGCACGCTTAAGTGCTCTGCCAAAAGCCTGCCATTTCTCCAAGGGGATGCTCAGCTGAGCTGGGTGTAACGAACCCCCAGGAAGGACCAAGCTCTGTAAATGCATGCCACCAGGCTTTCCATGCCAGCACTTGCCAAACGGAGACCTGCGTCTTGACAGCAAGGAGGCAAAACACACAACTAATAGCCTCCACGTGTCATTTTTAAAACCTGATCACTTTTGAGCTGGTGGGGAAATCATAGCTTTATATTTCGCCTCTAAAATGGGTCACTCGCCAAAAAAGGGTTAATGCATGTGGCTTCTGTGGCATCAAAAATAATTTTTTTTGTTTTTCTCTCTCGACAGCAAGTACCAGTGTTGGAGGTGAAGACAAAGCAAAGAAAACCCAAGGAAGCGGGAACAGAGCCACCTGAACTGATGGGACCAGCCCACTCACTCAGTGCACAAGTCAAGACTCACGTTGAGAACTCAAATCCCGCAAGAAGAGAAATACTATTTGTCTGCAACATCTGTTTCCTAACAAAAAAAATGCTATTTGGAAGGTGCCGCGCTCATCGCTGCAAGGGAAGAATCAACTCCCTGAAACCTGAAGGGCATTTTTCTTTTGTCTGCTTGGTGGTTTCTCCTTGGCTGCTCTGGGAAGGGGATTTCAAACAGGAAGGCTGGTGTAAAATCACCAGAAACACCCACCAGACTGCATGGCTCAAAATTCAGGGTATTTGGCCCACCAAGGGCTGCCTGCTTCTGCTCCATGGGCAGCGTGGAAAGCCAGGACCCTGGTTTTCTCCTCCAGTGAGATGGGTCCCAGGCCAAAACACAGAGACCAAATGGTTTTTGGTCCCCAGGACCTCAGTCCCATCCAAGTGCCAAAATGTCCACCTACACACCGGAGAAGGACGCGGCAGGGCCTGACCCTGCCCCAGGTGCTCAGCAGGCAGAGGCAGCCCACATGGCTACTGCTGGCAGCAAGGGGCTCTCTACTTTGAATCGGGTTTAAATCTTTATAGAAAACTAACACTCCCCTATATTACACCCCACACACACGTCTCTTCACACCCTGCCATTTTCCCGGCAACGACGTCTCCTCCAGTGAGATGGGTCCCAGGCCAAAACACAGAGACCAAATGGTTTTTGGTCCCCAGGACCTCAGTCCCATCCAAGTGCCAAAATGTCCACCTACACACCGGAGAAGGACGCGGCAGGGCCTGACCCTGCCCCAGGTGCTCAGCAGGCAGAGGCAGCCCACATGGCTACTGCTGGCAGCAAGGGGCTCTCTACTTTGAATCGGGTTTAAATCTTTATAGAAAACTAACACTCCCCTATATTACCCCCCACACACACGTCTCTTCACACCCTGCCATTTTCCCGGCACCGCCGAGTCCCTTTGCAGCAGAGATTTTGCAGGCTCTGGCCATCTCAGTGCCGGCAGCCATCCATCCTGCCCTGCCATGACCCTCCAAAAACCCACGTTTAGCAAGCACTGCCTTGATCTCCTGCACCGACCACGGAGCAGCACAGTGACCAGTACCATGAAGCCTGCTTTTTTGTTTGTTTGTTTGTTTTAAATAACCCCTAGTTTGGATCACCCCAGCTGGAGCAAATTAGCACCTTGGAGCATGCCTCTGCCTGGGCACAATAAAGACCTGATCGGGGCTTTGCTTCAGAAGATGACACAACTGAGCCTTTGAGAAGGGGGACACTCCTGGACA